TTGAGATTTGGCTATTGCAAAAAATATATATACTACTGGTTTGTTGGTCCAGGGTCATTTTTCATACTAAATTGAATTTTATAAATAGATTACTGACTTGTATTCTGCTCTCATATTTGGATTATTTCTGGGTGATTGATGTCTAGATGGAAAAGAGAATTACATCAACAAATTGGATGATTTTATTATTTAATAGAGGAACACATAACAAAATCAACAGATTAGGGCTGCATCCAAAATCAAACCCTTCCATACTAAATAGTGTGCTGAAAAAACAGTATGCGAGCTGAGTAGTACAGTATTCAAAAACAATATGTGAGAAGTACCCAGATGACCTACTACATCTGGCAAGATTCTGAAGTGCGCAATCGATAGATGCTACAATATTCCATGATGCATCGGGAGAGAAAAAACGAATAGAAGTGAAGCGATGCAATTGATGAAGGTAGGTCAGGTGATTATGACAAACTGGCGGATGTAGTATGTTCAAGTTCTATTCATACTACTCACATTCACACTGTATAGAATGTACTTTTCCAATGGTCGAGTTGTAAATTCTAATTCAGATGCAGTAGTAGGCGAATTCGGACGCAGCCAAAGTTTTAATGAATTCATTACCTAGAAAATCGGCTCCAGATGCTTCGTCTGTTGAGAGGGGAGATTTGTAAAATAAATTGTACAATGATTAAAATATCTGTTAATTGACAGTTTTCATATGTGTTCATTTGCGATTGTGAATTGTATTATAGGACCTTGGTCTCTGTTCTGTCAGCTTCTGATGTTAAAAATTAAACTTTCAAAATTCAACAGTGTTAGTGAAACTATTAAACATATAGGGCATGTCAATACTTAAGATATGAGTGATGATAATGATATGTACAGGGAATGTCAAAAGTGATAAGCTCAAGCAAATATGCTGGTGAAAACGTTTTATTTGTGTTCGGAGCAGGTTAAGATAAGTCTCTTTAGAACTTATTGTGGTTCTTTATAAACAGCTCCTCTGTGGAATAATAAAAAAAGAGAGATCTCCATAAGCTGCAAGTTTATACAATGATTGTGTGAGGATTCTTCTTAAAAAACATAGATGCAGTGCAAGTGAATTATTTTGTAAGGTAAGAGTTCGTTCATTTTTTGCTTTAATGAGAAATTTTTGACAAGTTTATCTGTCGCTTAGAGAGGTCTCAGAATGGCATTTTAATGTTGTTGATGAACCTTAGCCTTACTGAGGTGCGTTATCAGTCATCTTTGATGAAATATTGGCCTAGCTGTCTTTTTTAATTTATATTGTGTGGTTTGTATTGTTTTGTCTGTCTTTTGTACTACTGGACCTGGTGTCTGAAATCAAGAAAATACTTATTGACATTTTAGTATAGTTTAAATAATATAATATAATAATAATAATAATATAATGCAAAATAAATAATATAAAGATAAATAAGTCTGAAAATAACAAAAAATGCATTTTATTACAAGATTTTTCTACTTTAATATACAACACCAACCCAGACAATGTCACTCTAAACTATTAAAATGTTAATAAATGTCAATTTTTCAAACTTTTAAAGGTTAAAAGTTGTTGGAAGTAAATAAATAAACGGATAAAAATAAAAATACAAATCACAAAATATTGAAAACTGCTAATTTACAGTTTTTTTTTTATTTATGATTACAAACATGATCATTTGGGCTGAGTTTATGCTTAATCTTTGTAATATTGTAATTATATTTTCAATCTACCTTTGCTCAGGCTTCGGTGGTCTTCCAGGCGCATCCCTTGTTTGTGTATTAGAGAGATTAGAATCATTACCAACAGCAATAACCACAGCTTTATCAATTCATTGTTGAACTTGCCTGATATCACTCCTGTTTCCACTATTAAACCAAGCTGCTCTTCCATCAGGCATACTAAAACGACTGGAGAACAAATGTTAAATTTAGACTCAAGAACAAAAATCAAAATCAAATGATAAATTCATTAAAGTAAACTCCAACCTTGAAAATCTGTTCCAAACTGATCTCCTACAAAACAGAGATTGCTTGAGTATTAGAAACCAGACTTCAGCTCTGAATTACATAAAGATGTCAAACATACCTTGGCTCAGATCTTGTTATGTCCTCACAAGGCTGTCTAGAATCAATAATGACAACGTAAAAGTCAAAAGTTGTCCAGTGGTAGGTAATACAAACAGAAATTACAAGATAATTAAACTGAGCACTCCTTAGCAATATGTCAAAAAGTGTAAGATTGATATCCACTCATAACAAACTCAAAACACACTTGGCTTTTGTAAATGTTGATCAGAACACACTAATGATGACAGAATCAAAGTCCTAAATACATACTTCCTCATTTCTCACACTGCAATTAATGCGCTACAAGGGAACAGTTTCAAATACCAAACATTCACAAAGAGCTTTATTGCAAATAAAACCCTAAATTGGGGATATACTGATAAACCATTTAAAACTAGACGTCCATTTTTTTAAATTGAGGTTTAAACTTCATATGAAAGCTGGATGAATAATGCTTCAATTGATATATGGTAGGTTTAAATATTACAATATTTGGCACAGCGACACAGCGATTAAAAAATTTTGAAGCATGAGTTTAAGCCAAAAAAAAGAAGTCAGGTACCTTTGTCGCCTCCTGTAAATGAAGACTCCAGCAAGTATGCAAATGAGGATGAACACAAGTGAAGAAGCAATGATATAAGGCCCAGATTCAACCGCTTGAATTCCTATGATTTTTTAAAATAATTATTAATCACAGCATGAAGATGTGCAGTTTCTATTTTACTACAGCTGTCCTATAACAAAGGACAGATTCATACAGCCAAAGATCTCCTAAAGGTCTTTACTCACTCTTAACACTCAGGGGGGCAGAACTGTTGCTCTGTGTTTTACCACCCCAAAATTTGGCATTGCAGACAATTTTATCTTCCTCTTCATATCCGGTGAGAATAAAGTTCACAGTGGACACTGTTTCCCAGACGCCTCCACCCATGGGATTGTGGCTGATAGTTTCTCGAACTGTTGAGACACTCCATATGATTTCAGGAGGGTGAGAGGAGCATGTGTGTTTGACTGAACATTTAACAGTGACTGCTGTCCCGGGTTTGATGTCGTTAGGGAGGGGTGATATCACAGGTGTGTCCGGCGTTTCTTCAAGACACAATAAAGACATTAAATCAGTTTTGTAATGACTTGCATTAAATACATTAGAATTTAACTTTAGTGAGAGATCATATTTTCTCACTTCGCATTATAATGAACACACAGCTGTTGTTGAAGCTGTATTTCTCCTCTTTTTTTTCAGCTTGAAAGCAAAACGGCCCGTTGTCATGAGTTCGTACATCGTCCATCTCCAGAGTACAGTTCTGCTCATCCGGGTCTCCGAGGAGTTTTGTGCGGCCTTTAAAGTTGTCCAAGACGTCCACCGGGTCAGTGTGATACATGTAGCCACCCTTTTTGTTGACCCAACGAACACGAAGTCGAGTGAGATGTTCATCTTCAGGAGTAAAACTGCACGGTATCACCACACAGGAACGAGGAAGAGCAGTGATCTTGGGTATCACGTCTGCCATGTATTGAAAGTAAGCTAAAATTACAAATGACACAATATATTGGATTAATAAACCTTATGACATGACATTTGGCTAATAATTACACTATTTTATATCCAAAAGGTGGAGGAGTGCAGAGTAAGAACTTGACCGTGGCAACTTTTAAAATGCACATACTTTCATTCAGGATTGGATCTGGTTTTTGGTACTCTGTAAGAGAAACAAAATGTTTGACAGCATGAGGGAAGTGAAACTTTAGGCTAAAAAATATGTAATTTTGTAAATGTTGAAAATAATGAAAACACAATATGGCTCTTAGAGATGTGATAAAGTTTTACTGTAGCTGAAGTGATGAAATCACACTAAAATAATGAAATTTGCTGTTTTTTCAAACTACTTATATACAATGAGCTGAAACAATTTACATCCCGAGTTTTTTGGGCACACATCTTATTTGTTTTATGTTTAAGCCACTTAAATTTGTAAAAATTAATAAGTCGACTTAATTTCTTAATGTCATTGTTTAACCAAAATATTGTTAGTGGAGTAAAACTATGGCTAATTTTGCAAGGTGCAACGTCATTTTACAGTACTAATCTGAATCATTTAGGAGTAAATAATGCATAAAATGACACAGATTTGTGCTTTTATCCTGAGTATAAGCCAAAATATGTCACTAACAAATAACTCACCTTTTACACGTAAAACAACAGATTTTTCACTGTTTCCTCCAGACATTTGTACAGTGCACGTCAGCTCCTTCCCATTGTCTTCTTTCGCACCCAGGAAGGTTATATTGGAATAGGTGATTCGATCTAAACCTGAAAGTGTTTTTCTCCCCTCTGAGACCTGCATGTTCTCGTAGTTCCATGTGATGGTTGGATTCTCCTTCTGACAGGAATGGTAGACGGTACAGTTAAAGAGCTGTTCAACGCCCTCAGTGACATCTGCTATTGCAGGCTCAATCGTTATTTTTTGATGAACACCTGAAAGTGAAATGATCTCTTGTCAACATGGCTTACAAACATTATAGCTACAGTAATAGCACATGCAGCCGTTCATACTTGTTAACACTCACATTTGACATTTTTGGTCATTGTAGCTGTCGCTTTTACACCACCATGATATGTTACTGAGCACTCAATGCTTGAACTTTCTGCCTTTACCACAGCTTTTCGTGTCAGAGTGATTTTCCACTGACCATCTTTAAAGGACTCATGCTTTATTTCATCAGATCCTTCAACACCATTCAGAGTGATACTTGGTTTGCTGTGTGGACACGTGTGGAAAGCTGAACACTCCTTAGCAATATGTCAAAAAGTGTAAGATTGATATCCACTCATAACAAACTCAAAACACACTTGGCTTTTGTAAATGTTGATCAGAACACACTAATGATGACAGAATCAAAGTCCTAAATACATACTTCCTCATTTCTCACACTGCAATTAATGCGCTACAAGGGAACAGTTTCAAATACCAAACATTCACAAAGAGCTTTATTGCAAATAAAACCCTAAATTGGGGATATACTGATAAACCATTTAAAACTAGACGTCCATTTTTTTAAATTGAGGTTTAAACTTCATATGAAAGCTGGATGAATAATGCTTCAATTGATATATGGTAGGTTTAAATATTACAATATTTGGCACAGCGACACAGCGATTAAAAAATTTTGAAGCATGAGTTTAAGCCAAAAAAAAAGAAGTCAGGTACCTTTGTCGCCTCCTGTAAATGAAGACTCCAGCAAGTATGCAAATGAGGATGAACACAAGTGAAGAAGCAATGATATAAGGCCCAGATTCAACCGCTTGAATTCCTATGATTTTTTAAAATAATTATTAATCACAGCATGAAGATGTGCAGTTTCTATTTTACTACAGCTGTCCTATAACAAAGGACAGATTCATACAGCCAAAGATCTCCTAAAGGTCTTTACTCACTCTTAACACTCAGGGGGGCAGAACTGTTGCTCTGTGTTTTACCACCCCAAAATTTGGCATTGCAGACAATTTTATCTTCCTCTTCATATCCGGTGAGAATAAAGTTCACAGTGGACACTGTTTCCCAGACGCCTCCACCCATGGGATTGTGGCTGATAGTTTCTCGAACTGTTGAGACACTCCATATGATTTCAGGAGGGTGAGAGGAGCATGTGTGTTTGACTGAACATTTAACAGTGACTGCTGTCCCGGGTTTGATGTCGTTAGGGAGGGGTGATATCACAGGTGTGTCCGGCGTTTCTTCAAGACACAATAAAGACATTAAATCAGTTTTGTAATGACTTGCATTAAATACATTAGAATTTAACTTTAGTGAGAGATCATATTTTCTCACTTCGCATTATAATGAACACACAGCTGTTGTTGAAGCTGTATTTCTCCTCTTTTTTTTCAGCTTGAAAGCAAAACGGCCCGTTGTCATGAGTTCGTACATCGTCCATCTCCAGAGTACAGTTCTGCTCATCCGGGTCTCCGAGGAGTTTTGTGCGGCCTTTAAAGTTGTCCAAGACGTCCACCGGGTCAGTGTGATACATGTAGCCACCCTTTTTGTTGACCCAACGAACACGAAGTCGAGTGAGATGTTCATCTTCAGGAGTAAAACTGCACGGTATCACCACACAGGAACGAGGAAGAGCAGTGATCTTGGGTATCACGTCTGCCATGTATTGAAAGTAAGCTAAAATTACAAATGACACAATATATTGGATTAATAAACCTTATGACATGACATTTGGCTAATAATTACACTATTTTATATCCAAAAGGTGGAGGAGTGCAGAGTAAGAACTTGACCGTGGCAACTTTTAAAATGCACATACTTTCATTCAGGATTGGATCTGGTTTTTGGTACTCTGTAAGAGAAACAAAATGTTTGACAGCATGAGGGAAGTGAAACTTTAGGCTAAAAAATATGTAATTTTGTAAATGTTGAAAATAATGAAAACACAATATGGCTCTTAGAGATGTGATAAAGTTTTACTGTAGCTGAAGTGATGAAATCACACTAAAATAATGAAATTTGCTGTTTTTTCAAACTACTTATATACAATGAGCTGAAACAATTTACATCCCGAGTTTTTTGGGCACACATCTTATTTGTTTTATGTTTAAGCCACTTAAATTTGTAAAAATTAATAAGTCGACTTAATTTCTTAATGTCATTGTTTAACCAAAATATTGTTAGTGGAGTAAAACTATGGCTAATTTTGCAAGGTGCAACGTCATTTTACAGTACTAATCTGAATCATTTAGGAGTAAATAATGCATAAAATGACACAGATTTGTGCTTTTATCCTGAGTATAAGCCAAAATATGTCACTAACAAATAACTCACCTTTTACACGTAAAACAACAGATTTTTCACTGTTTCCTCCAGACATTTGTACAGTGCACGTCAGCTCCTTCCCATTGTCTTCTTTCGCACCCAGGAAGGTTATATTGGAATAGGTGATTCGATCTAAACCTGAAAGTGTTTTTCTCCCCTCTGAGACCTGCATGTTCTCGTAGTTCCATGTGATGGTTGGATTCTCCTTCTGACAGGAATGGTAGACGGTACAGTTAAAGAGCTGTTCAACGCCCTCAGTGACATCTGCTATTGCAGGCTCAATCGTTATTTTTTGATGAACACCTGAAAGTGAAATGATCTCTTGTCAACATGGCTTACAAACATTATAGCTACAGTAATAGCACATGCAGCCGTTCATACTTGTTAACACTCACATTTGACATTTTTGGTCATTGTAGCTGTCGCTTTTACACCACCATGATATGTTACTGAGCACTCAATGCTTGAACTTTCTGCCTTTACCACAGCTTTTCGTGTCAGAGTGATTTTCCACTGACCATCTTTAAAGGACTCATGCTTTATTTCATCAGATCCTTCAACACCATTCAGAGTGATACTTGGTTTGCTGTGTGGACACGTGTGGAAAGCTGAACATGTTACCGTGATATTGTCGCCCATCCTTTCACCTCCAGAAAAATCCATTTTGGGCAGCTGTGGACTTTCTATTGACAATAAGAAAACAATAAAAAATGTATACAATTTGAATTCTTTAAAATAAGTGTTTTGTTTTCTCTGAACTAACTTTTTAAATAATGTTTTACTATTACTTTATTTTAATAAGACAAAGGCATATAAAAAATAAACGTTTAGGTCAAAATCCTATTCAAAATAATTTCAAAACAACTTCAGAGAAGCATTATATTAAGTCCGATGTTATTACCAGTACAATCTTTTACTGCAGTTGAACAGACATAAGAGTGAATGAGTATTATTCCAAGAGTATTTACATACCGTCAATAAGGATTGTAGAGGTAAAATCATCATGTTTGTAGTTGGTCCATGCAATATTTTCAGGGTCAATCCTTGTGTATAATTTCTCATTATGGTGGGACTGTTCCAGGTTTTTGATCAGGAGACTACAATTTGAGTTTGAGTTTCCATATAATTCAGTTTTTCCTCTGAACTTTGTGATGACATTATTTGCATGCAAAGAATCATAAACTAAAGGACGGCCACTAGAAGCCCACTGATACCACACGACTCTATTTGGGTTTTGGGGTGGGTTTGATTTGTAGCTGAAAGAACATGGAATCACCAGACAGGAACCTTTGAGGCCGTGAATGTCTTGCGGGATTTTCATTTCCCATCCTAAAGCATCAAACAGCAGAACACCTGTGGGATAAATTATAAAAATATAAATGGCCTAGTGGATAAATGAATAAATAAATTAAAAATTATGAATAATTTTCTACTTGTTATTCATAATTAAAACAAAGTGAAAATCGATGTTAAATAAAACATTTTGTATTTGATAAGTGCATTGGTTATTAAGGTTAAAATAATGCTTCAACCAAAATGTAAATTTTTTAAAAGTGAATAATACAGGGAGAGAACAAATATTGAGAGATCACACATATCAGACGAAATGCTAACAAATTACTCACGCTGTACGCGTATACTGACAGAAGCTTCAGTGCTTCCTCCAGAAAAGCTTGCAGTGCAAATCAATCTCTTTCCATGGTCTTTGTTTTTACCCACAAAGATTATTTTGGAATAGGTGGCCCGATTTAAACCAGAAAGTGTTTTTGTCTCTTCTGAGATCTGCATGTCCCTGTAGTTCCATGTGATGGTTGGTTTCTCATTCTGACAGGAATGGTAGATGGTACAGGTGAAGATCTGCTGGACGTGCTCAGTGACATCTCCCACTGCAGGCTCAATTATTATTTTTTGATGAACACCTGAAAGTGAAAAGAAATCTTAAAACAGGTTAATCTGCAACATTTAAAGTGAGCGTGCAAATAATAGTGCACAGAACAGAACATATTTGTTTACACTCACATTTGGCACTTTTGTACTTTGAAGAACTTGCTGTTCTGCCCCCATAATGTGTTACTGAACACTGAAAATTGAGGCTTTCTGTCTTTACAACACCTGTGTGTGTCAGAGAGATTTTCCACAAGCCATTTCCTTTATGTTCATCATTTGTTTGATCATCTTTATTTATGCCGTTCAGAGAGATTGTTGGTTTTTTGTACGGACATGTGTGGAAGGTCGAACATACTACTGTGATGGATTCACCCATCTTATTACCTCCATAAATTTCAATGCTGGGCTCCACTGGATTGTCTGTAATTCACATAAACATTCAAATTACTATATCATTAGTATATCATCTCTTGAATCACTTGAATAAAACTAGGATAAAACTAGAATAAAACTAGGATGTATGTAAATCCTATGTATGTATGTAAAACCTCAAGTAAATGTGATGTAAATCAAATAATTTTGCTTTGAAATAAACAGTGACCACTATACAATACACACTTAAAATAATTGAATTGCATTGCTAACCAACTACATCTTTTTTACTCCATAGCCCAGATCAGTTTTCATGGATGTATGACATCAGAATAACCACGAGAAGTTCATCAAACTAATGTAAAATGTACAATACAACCAATTCCAGTCTCTATTTTGACCATAAATCTTTTAAAGATTTTGTTAAAACTGTGACTATTTTAAATCATGATATAATATTTTACTAGTTGAATAATCACAGGTGTTGTCCAGTACACAGCAATATTTACATACCATCAACATAGATTGTAGAGGTGACATCATAAAATGCATAAGTGCTCTTTCCAACATTTTCAGGGTCGATCCATGCATATATTTTTTCTCCATGGTGAGAGCGAGCCACTTTAGAAATCAGCAGAGTGCAATCCCAATGGGGTTTTCTATATAAATCTGTTTTTCCTCTGAACTTGTCAATAACATCATTTGGATACCATTGATCACAGACCAAAGGATAACCTTTAGAGACCCACTGATACCACACAACTCTACGTGGGTTTGGGGCTGGGTATGATGTGTAGCTGAAAGAACATGGAATCACCAGACAGGAACCGCGAAGACCACGAATGTTTCTTGGCACTGTCACATCCCATCCGAGAGCACCATACAGTAGAACAACTGAGGGACAAAAGATGGAGAACATGTAATATGCTTCAGGTAGTGAAAGTAATTGAAGGTCTACATTAGACAACTAAAAGTCACTGCTGTTCCTAAAGTTACTTTTATTTTTCTTATAATCTTTGCCTTGCTGTCATTTAAGAAGGCTGGTATTTGATATGATAACATAAAGTCAGTAAACTACACACAATGAATTTGCATGGACTGTTTGGGTGAAGGTGAACTTGATCATTGTAGCGTGTCGCTTTATACAGTGCATTGAAAAGCACAGACTTGAAATGTGTGACACTCGTGGTTAAGTTACCCAATAAAATTTAGATTAAAATCAGGCCAAAAAGAATGACGTACTGTATATGGAAATGTATGTATATATGCAAGAGTGTTGGTTAAATATTAATGGTTTATAGAAATTAATTGAGATAATAAATAACTAATGTTGCTCCAATGAGAAAGTCTGAGTCTGGCCAAATTTGCAGTAACTGCTTTAAACTGATATTAAGATGAAGAATATAAATAGTAGAGCTGAGGATAGACTCGGGTGTTCAGATTGTTCAGAATTTGATTCTGATTCAAAAACTCTCATTTTGATTTGCTTCTTCATTTGATTTACCAAATATACAGATTTGATAGACATGTCATTGATATTCTAAAAATGATTAGAGAGCACTTTATTTTAGCTGCATGGGTCTATAAATACAGTAGTCAACATTTGAAGTGGATCAAAACCTTTCTCAGCATTATTCTACAAATATTAGATAACAGGCATACTAGACTTAGGACGAAAAAACAAACATTTTTGATTCACTTCAAATGTTGACTACTGCACACACACACACACACACACACACACACACACACACACACACACACACACACACACACACACACACACACACACACACAACTAATTATTAGTCTTCGTGTGAAATTTTATTTATTTATTTAAAAAAAAATTACACAGATGACAATAAATCGTGCTGTTTAACAGAGATAAGATCACACATTTTATCTCTTTTATCGAGCTTTATAAACTAATTTCTAATAACTAATTACAAATTATTGTGTGGGCTGTTTTGAAGTTCAGTTTAAAAAGCAATTTAAAAGCTTAACTAGATTATTTAGGCAGGTTCAGTTAATCAGGCAGGGGAAAAGCAGTGTTTATTCTGTGGCCAATCTAATAAAAAGGGTCTGATCTGAACTGCTTTTATTCCAGCCAAAAACTAAAATATTCCAGTCAAACAAAATATTCCAGAAAATATTCCAGCCAACTTGGAAAATGTTTTTAAAAGAATAAGAATTTTACAGAAGGGCTATTAATTTTATTAACTTCACATATTTTAGAGATTGAACTAACTACAGCTTTCACAGTTCTGGTATAGATTTCGGTACAGTTAAGGAAAAGAGATGCAAAACTTAAAAATTTTTATCATTTATTATTGTTATTATTATAAGCATTTGTCTACATCAAAAGCTTAAAGTAAATATAGAACACAGACAAATTTTTTATTTTTTTTAAATAGAATTTTTTTTTGTGCAGCTTTAGTAGATACTAAACTCTAGAAATTTAGCCACAGACTTTATAGAGTATGTATGCTATATACTGAACACATACAATAGTTGCATCTATTACTGTATATAAAGAATAAAAACACATTCCATACCTTGAAAAAGCAAATGAATAATCAGAGGCCTCATGATGTTCCCAGGTTTAACCTTAAACTAAATAAAAACAAAGTTATTTTACACTTTCAAAAATAAAATTTGACAATCATTTTTCAGCAAATGGCACTGAAGGGCGGTCTAGTAGCACACAGCCCACATGTTTTAAATTGCTATTATCAGTCTTGTTGTTCAATTAAAAAAAGGGGGCTAAAACATCCCAAAAATCAAAACTGAATTAAATTTAATATTTGTTTTAGTAATTCTTACCTTTCTAATGTGCTCTCATATGCAAGCTGACTGGATGAGAAATACAAAAAACACACATATACTGCAAACTGCTGTCATGAGAAAAAATCAAAAAATCTGTTTGTCCTGTAAGAGGAAGTGTGAAACGGACTCTCTCTTTTTTAACCAAACCTAGAATGTTCATCCAAGTGTGATTTTCTTTGCTTCAGTAAAGTTTACAACCACAGCACCTCTTTATGTGGTAAACGTGTTAAGCTCTAGAATGTACAGTACATTACTTGTTAGACATTAAAAGTGGTTTAATTAATTAGCTCAGGAAAAGTTGTACTAAAACTAAGTCTGACATCCACTGCAGCCATCTTTTAGAGTAAAATAGCTGAAGATACTTGAAAAGTTGCAAGTTGCCAATTTTGCTGTAAGTATGTTGTTCGTTATGAATAGGCATGACAACAGAAGAGAAGTTGAAAACACAACTGTATTTGAAAGGATGGTCCAACATTCAGTTGTAAAAATACAAGTAAAAATATAAGCAGACTGGTAATCCAAGAGCATAGTCCAATAAACAGGTGAAGGTCAGGGCAGATATCAAGCTCTCAATAGTTCACAAAAAGTCCAAAACACAGTAGAGAGTAAAGTAGTAAAAAACAGAACAGAGACATGTGGAGTAATGAACACAGCAGTGAAATTGGACTGAGCAAAGACTGGGTGAGTTAGTGGTGCTTATATGATAGTCAGTAATCGTGTGCAGGTGTCAGTATAATCTAAATACATATCATGCATTTCAGGTGTGAATATGTAATCAGGGCAAAAAATTGTGGGAGGTGTAGTCTGGGCGAACGGCTAGTGAATCTTGTGGGCACTCCAGCTGATAAACGTAACGTAGGCACTGCTATTGAAATAGCTTATTTCTAAAGTGTCAGTTTGTGTGTGTGTGTGTGTGTGTGTGTGTGTGTGTGTGTGTGTGTGTGTGTGTGTGTGTGTGTGTGTGCCTCGCCATAGTCCTTAATGCACCACAGCTGCACCCTCGTCACTGCCGATCAATCACAGCTGCAAGCCCTTAAAAGGACCCAAGAAGAAGACCAGTTTGAGTTTGATTCTCAAAAGAAAACTCCATGCTAATTTCTCTCTCTGAGGTGCCCAAACTTTTTCTTATAAAGGGCCAAAAACCAAACCTGACTGAGGGCTGAAGTAAATTGTATGACATTAAATTTGCCATGGGTAATTTCATAATTTATTTGCTAACATTTAAAAAATACTACAAAATCTTGCTTTACAACATACAATTAATG